AGTAACCTTATTATTCTTATGTATAAAATGATTGATTTTAATAAATAATTATAGTAAAATATATAAATTTTATTATGTCCTGTGAATGCTATATATAAAACGTGTAACATTGTATAAAATTTAATATATATCATATGATGATTATTAAGGATGAAATATTATATCTATAAATATTTTTATATTTTATAGATCTAATCCGTGTGTTATGGAAAACATATAAATCTATTTTAAAATTAAACAGTTATCTCTTTTATCATTTATTATTTTTTTCATAAGAGTATTTTGCAATATATATTCATTAGTATTTATGGCAAACTGAATGAAGTAGGAAAACGTCTGAGATATATAAGGACCAAAAAATATAATTAACTTTATATTATTCCAAATTATGAAGGTCCTTAAAAGAAAAATAAGAGAAAATTAAAGATTACTAAAGCATGAAAAATTATACTACAACTTTTTCAAAATTTATAGGTGATAAAATATATAAATGTTTATTACTAGTTGAATTATATTATAAATATACTTACACTATAACATAATGAAAATATTATCTTTAATTAATAAAATATAAAATTATGATATATATCCTAATAACTACACTTTTCTAATTAATATATTAATTCTTATTATGGATAATATAATTATATTGTTTTTTATGATTTATGTACATTAATATATAAATATTTTTTTAAATAAATTAATACAATACCTTAGACATTTCTATATATTTTTTTTTTCATTTTATTTTTGAATAACAATTAATGGAAATTATGCATTTAATTGCGCATTATATTCACTTATCATTATATTAAATAAATGGTAATCGTTGATATACATGATTCCTGAATTTAATATTACTATTGTTCATTCCAATAAAAAAAAATAATATTTATTGAATTTTTTCTTGTGATAATATATTTTAACTATAATTTTTACTCCAAAATAATGAAAAATAAGATTTCGTTTTCATTAATGGGTGAATGAAAGACACACACTTATGATAATATTATAAAATTATCATATATTTTCAAATTTAATAATTTCTTAATGTTAATTTATACAAAATAATTTATAGTGATATATAATTGATAAAATTGTGGATGGATTTATAAAAAATGTCACGAATAATATATAAATCATTATGAATTATCAAGTAGAATAATAATCGGTTATCAATTTGTATATATAGTTTTCAATTAATTTATAAATTTAATTTTAGATATTAAATGTAAAATTATGATAAAAAGTAATTATATTAATTGGCCACTTTTACATTCAATCTATTCACCATATAATTTGATTTATTAAATGAAGCATATTTCACTTATATTATTCCGTTACAATAGAGAAATTGTTCACTTGTAGTTCTTAGAAATATATACCTAATTATTTAGATATACAAGAACTAAAATAAAATAAAAAAAAGCTTAACAAAAGATATAAAGTTTAATTTACTTATTATCAATTAAATGTACAATGTAAACAAAATCATTATATTCTATAAATTATTAATTCTAAAAATAACTTTATAAATTTATTGCAATAAAACGAAAATGAAAAATTTATAATAAACGAAAAACATGAATGATATTTATATAATATTTAAAATGGTAATATGTAATTTAAATATACATGGGTGATTATATCTGTCTTGTACGTCTATTATTATATTATATTTAAAAATTATGCATTCTTTTGATACATATATATATTAAATTAATGATAAAATTACAGTAATACTATATATATTACATAGTTTGTGAGAATATAGTAGCGAATATTAGATAATATAAATTATCATATATAAATTTAATAAGTGAATATAGTAACATTGTAATATATAATGTTGTTTAATAAATCCTAGAAACTAGAAGACGCAGAAACATGAATAAACAATAAAGTATAAATATTATGTGCCTTAGAATTCATCAATATACAGAAAATCATAATTATATAATCATAATCATGAATTATTGATATTAAATTTTCAATTAAATCCTTAATTCTTAAATTTAATCCTATAAATGTGCCAAATAACTTTTTTTATAACCACATATAATATATTGATAACAATTTCATCAAGAATTTTATCAATTTATGTTTCATTTGGTTTATCATATAAGTAAATTATTTCTTTTTTATTATCAATTTACACAAGCTTTCATTAAATATATGATTACATTTTTATTATATTTAGGATAATTTGAATTTCATGAAATATATTTTTTCTAAATTAATCTGAACTATAGACTATATTATATCCATTATATATTGTTATACTATTAAAGTCTTCATATTGATCTAACATATTCATTTCTTCATCTTTATTTTTGAACTCACTTATTTTACGTTTTAATTTATAGGGTATGATTGTACGAAATGAGGTATACTATTTCATTTGAAAAAAAAAAAATATATGTATAAAATAATATATTATTCTTATGATTAATATGCTTAATTATAGATAATTTAAAATTTATATTTTATAGTAAAAATATATTGGAATAATATCATAACTAACCTTAAGGACAATAAATAACAACAGTAATACTACTACTGTAAAGAGAATTGAAATTATAATAATATCCTTTGTATTAGTTTTCGTAGAGTATGATATTTCTTTTTTATCACAATCACATATTTCAGATTTATTTTTTTCATTATATTTTTGAATAATACCTTTTAATGCTTCGCAAAAATTATTTTATTGACTTACTTCTTCTTCGTGTTCAATTGTGTTTAAACATAGAGATGTTTCATATAAATATTTGACTTTTTCAAAATGATCATAGGAATTAATACTATCCGCATATGTTATACATGGGTGTTGTACGCCGTTATTTTTTAAAAGTGTCAAAAATTCTTTGTAAAGTTTTTTGGTATCGCAACTTTTACCTATATTGATAAGTTCATGATATATCCAATAATACATGTATGAACAAATAGCATTTTCAGGTATAGGATTATGAGTACGAGAAATATTATGTATATATGACGTAGCTGTGGTGCAAATATTATTTTCATCCAAATTATTATCTGTTAAATATCCTTTCATAATAGGTTTACATTCATTTTTGTAATCTGCACTCGGTTCTTTTTTTTCATTTTCTAATTCCTTTTTACATCGAGGAAAATAAATTATATATTCATACTAAAAATAAAAAAAAGGCTCATTATAAAAAAAAATTATATAAGGAAAAAGTAATTTTTAAAATAATTATGAAAAAGTGAATACACTATTATAGCTGCAAATTTAATATTATATTAACACAAACATACAATATTAGACCACATCTACCTAAAATTATATACTAAATTGGGTTAAGATAAAAAAATTAATGAAAAAAAATATATATAATTATTTAAAACTAATAACTTTATATATAGAATATAGTTCTCACTATTTTTAATAAATATAAAAATTATGCAATAATACGATCAACATAATTGATCATTATCTTTTTTTTAAGTTAAATATATGGTATTATCTATTTGAAGATATATATTATTTAATTAATGATCCCCAAAATAAAGAAGAAATATTTACTACTTAATTAAAAAATTGTAAATATATATTGTAAAAACGTAATAAAAGAGTTTTTATTTTATAAAAATAATATTATTATATTAATACCATATAAAGAATGAAATTACATCATGCTAGGGTCAATCATACATTTGAGTATATATATTTATATATTACTATTTATTACAGAAAGTTACATAATCTTATATATAACTTAACATAAAATATATTCGAGACATATACGTAATGTTTGAAAATCTAGCTTTTATTATTAAATATGACATTTTATGTATTCATTGAAGTAATCTTCTATGAGAAATGGTTATATAATTTTTCATAATAGTACATATATTAAATTTTTTTACTCCTATTACATCATGATATTCATATAGAGGACATATATTTTATAATTTTTTCAGTTAGATATATTATATATTTACATATTTTATAAATATATAATGTATATTAGTAAAACATATACATAATTGCATGTGACATTGGTAATATTTATTACATTTATAATATATATATTTATATTTTATTTTCCTAAAACGAAATCTTTTAAAACATATTTTTATAATTTATAATAATTAGCGCTA